TAGTTGGTCCCGGGGGTGCATGGGGGCATGGGAGGTGGGGTGGGCAGCGAGTGCCTGAGCACCTTCTGCTAATAAAAAAAGCCTTGAACACCAAGCTGGGATTGCACCCGCCCTTCCCTCAGCCCCAGGAAAAGGTTCTATGGGTTTTCCTGGCAGGTTGGTTCTCAGCGGGCGTGGATTTAGTTGGTTTGTGGGGATTTCATCTGCTCAAATTATCGATTGCTTGGTTCAGAGTCCCCAGATTGTTTCCTGAGCCTCCGTCGTGCCCTGTTGCAAAGCGCTGGGAGAATGTCGATAAACCAGCCTTGGGTTCTTCAGCCACTCTGTGCAGAGCTCTGCTGTCTCCATCAAAAGGTTTATTTACAACTTGCTCCTCAAATCAAGCTCCTTAATACACAGCTTGCGATGGCCGGTGGCGTAATAGCCCCTTATTATGGGCTGGGCGCCGCTGCATCTTCAGAGCATGGTTTGAAAAGGGGCAAAAAGAAAACAAAGCAAAAACAATCCCTTCATATCTGTAACATCGCATAGCTGTGTGGGTCCTTTTCTCTGGTCTAAGTGTTCAGTGCGAATGAAAACCTCAAAAGCCAAGAAAATGTGCAGGTTTTAGACCCCCAAGGTGCTGGTTGTTGTCATAGACTGAGCAGTGCTGGTCTGGGGCTTCAGGTGTGAGGGCTGTTGAGGAGCAGCTGTGATGGGGTTCAAGAGAAGTTGTTGAGTTGTCCTTTGCACTTCCCGGGTATACGACGCGGGGTTGAGATGGTTGGAAGCTTAGCGAGTTAAAATTATACCTGCTGGCTGCAAACCCACGCTTGCCTCCAGCTCCTGTTTCAGGCAGGACTTGGTCAAAGAAGCTTTTGCCGTGGCAGTTACTTCAGGAAAGGCCCTCGGTGATCTACATGCATCTCAGTGCAAACCAAGCTGCTGGAAAGAGGAAGAGAAGAGGGGCTAGAAGGGAGGACAACCCTAATTTTTAAGCTATAAACGGGTCTTGGGGAGCAGATGTATGGATGCATGGAGGGCTTGGACTTCATCTGAACTTCTGCCCAGCGTGCTAACATGCATCTGGAGGAAGCCAAACCTCTTTTACTCTGTGCCTCCACGCGCACACGCTGCGAAGTTTTGGGGAGGGTGCCGATGGCAGGTCTGGGTTCAGCAAAGTGCCTGAAGGCTCCTTGTGTTTTGACTTCTGCATGTGCCAGAGGAAGCAAAACTGGGAAGCATCTCGAGCCACTTTGCATGAGAACTACAGCCTCTTTTTTTTTTTTTTTTTTTTTTCCCCACAACTACACTTCATTATCCAGCTTCTCAATGCCTTTGGCCGCAAGTTGGCAAAAGCTATCAATGGTACATTGTTGACTGGGAGGGGGCTGAGGGAGGAGGGAAGGGAATAACAAAGCTGCCAGCAGCTTTCTGGGGGTGGGGAACAGCCCGGCAAAGTGCTTTGTCATGCCTCTCCACATCCACTACTACTGAATACACACACTGGTCCATTGATGGCCATGGTTGAGCAGTGAGGAGGGACTGGATGAACACCAGAAGCCACTGAGCATGTGTGCAGAGGGCTTTGCTTTGAGCCATCCTCACCGCTGCCACCGAATGTCTTTTTCCCAGTGCTTTTCAGCAGCCTTTTCTCCAGGCAGCCCCTGCTGCAGGCTGTGGGAACGCTGGTGAGGAGCCCGCTCTGGCGAACCTGGAGGAGGAGGAAATCCTGTGAGGAAGAATGTTTGTGTTTCCTGTAGAAAGACTATTTTGGTGTGAGGCAGTGAGCTGAGGTCTTGGTGAATTCTGCCTGTGTCGCAATTGCGTGGCAAGGTTTATTTTTCTGGCATCTGGAAACACCCGGATTCAGTTGTTCCTTTGCAGTCTGGTTTATGTTCCGGTTCAGGTGATTCTGATGGTCTTTGGATTCTTCAGCCTGTCTCATGGAGAGGGATGAGAGTGGAAAAACACTGCCTTGAGAGCAGCTCAAGGGAGAAGTTTTAGGACAGATAGTAAGTTATTGATCCCTCTACAGAGCCTGTCCCTTGTAGCCTTGTTCCTTGCTCCGTGTGCTCGTTGAAAACCCTTTTATTTTGGCGGTGTTTGCATAGCTTTGTGCTGGCGTGCTTCATAATGGGAACACTGGGGGACAACTGGTTTCTCTGCGTTGCTTTTGCAGGCTTTGTTAGAGGGATACCGCTGCTGTGCTGTGTCTCAGGAAAGAGCTTTTGTGGTGCTGATAAAGGAAGCAGCGCTCCAGAAGTAAAATAATTTGCTTTCATGAGCTTCCTGAAAGCCAGAGCAGATATTAAAGCCTGCATTCAAAGTGATCTGTGTGTAGGTACATCCAAACAAATGTAGAAACTGGCAAGGGAAGCTTATTTAAAAAGTAGATCTGTAGCGTGAACTTGTCATACTGAGTGTCCTTCACTCCAACCCTAAAAATGACTTTTCATTTGCATGTGAAAAAGTCACTTCAGATGTCACAGAGCGTGTTGAAAATATCTGAAGAACCAACCCTTTTACTCCTCCTCCTCCTGAAAATGTGAAACTTTAAACCTCCTCCTTCTGGGTCCTGTTGATCTATTTGTAGATATTTGTCTGTAGAAAATGTGTGCTCATCTGGTCACGCGTTTCCAGCCATCTGCTCTTGGCAGGCAGCCCTTATTAGCATGAGGTTGCTCAGCACTCTCACTGGGTTCCTGGCTGCAAAGCCCCTCCCCTGTTTCCAACGTCTTCCGACTGCTTGGGCTGGTGGGGAGTGGTTTGAATGGAGATACCCGGGCCCGTAGCTGTCCCTGGTGCCCTGTGGTGGAGCTGGGAGAGTAGTTTGGGGTTAGGAGGAGCTGTCGCATCCGAAACATGATCCTTGCTAACCTAACCTGCTGTTCTCTCTTTTTTTTTTTTTTTTTTCCCTTGCAGTAGTATTTTACCTTTGAGTAACTGTCCCCAGCTGCAGTGCTGCAGGCACATTGTTCCCGGGCCTCTGTGGTGCTCCTGATGCCCCTCACCCACTGTCGAAGATCCCCGGTGGGCGAGGGGGTAGCAGGGATCCTTCTCTTTCAGCTCTGATCTATAAGGTGAGAAAGATCTGACATCTAAATAACTTTTAACTTGATTCCTCCTGGGAATATAAACCTAAATAACCCTGAGGTAATTAGTGGGAGAAAATTGTTCAGCCACCTGGTTGTCAGATCCTTGAGCTGCGTGCTTCGCTCTCCTGCTTCAGCATTAAGAAAAGGAGGCCTTTTCTGGAAGCCATGCAACAAATAATTCCCCAGAGGCCTGTGTCCGTTGTGGTGCCTGGAGTCAACATTATCAAAACACAAAACTTCTTGAATGTCTTGTGAAACTAAGAGGGAAGCAGAAAGGTGAAGTGCAGAGTGGGAACAGTTGATAAGCTCCTTCCTGTGCCCCAGGCCGGAAGGTGAAGCTTTTGAGGACTGGGAGCTACCTCAGGAGTTCGTCAGAGAGCAACTTCAGACTTCCCAAAAGGCTGAGGAGGCCCTGCGGACCGAGGTGTCTCTAGAACACGAGGTGAGATCAGGAAGGCTTTGTGTCTGCAGACGTAGATCTGGGTACCTCTCGTTTTTTGGTCCTCTCTGTTCACCAGGAGCTTTCCTTTGGAGTGAGGAGACCTGGCTCTTCCTTGCTGAGGACACTTGTGCAGCTCGGCACTGTGTTTTGGCAGTGCACAGCCAGGGAATGAAGTGCCATCAGGTGAGGTAGCCTAAATTCATGCCCAGCTTGTAGATTTGGCTCTTCAGACAGGAGCATTGTCATAGGTGTTAGACTTGATTTTTAAACACACCGTGGGAGGCACACAGACTTTACATGAGGAGAAGATACGAGCCCTTTTGGGTCACAGCTCCCAACATCTTGTGAAATTCATGAATGTCACAGACCTCATGGCTTCTTTCAGGAGATTTTTTTCTTTTGGAGAATTTTTAGCACATGCCTCAACCACCTACTTCATGACTAAACATCAACCTCTGCAGCCTCTTAATAGTAAGGTACCACTGGCTTCACGCTGTGGGCTTGAATTGTCACAGATGTTGGAGGGGTCTGAAATCCTGAGAAGCAGCAGAACACAAAGGGCTTCCTGGCAGATAAAGGAGATACATAAATAGCTTCAAGAGGGCTCAGGACAAATAATGAATTCCCTCTGGGTGGGTAGGGGTGAGAAAGAAAGGGCCCAGCAATTTCAACTCTTGCTGGGCCTTGCCAAGCTTCACACAGACACCAGCCCAGGTCCAAAGGCAGACAAAGAGCTCAGCATGGAGGAGAAGCTGGTGGAAAGAATCGTGGTTTGGAAGATTTGAAATGTTTGGTTTCAGTATGGCCTTGAATTAGGCACAAAAGCTTTTGGTGTCACAGCAGGCTGAGCTTTCCAGCCAACATTAAAGGCATCGGGACCCAAAAGCTTAAGTCCTTTTTCCAGCTGTGTCAGCTGTTCTAGTGGCAGAGATGACCTTTTGGGAACAAGCCTGCCCCCTTCAGAGCATGCAGCACTCAGAGGCCACAGCCTCGTAATTAAGCAGCTGGGGCTCCCTGTAGTTGGTGTTGGTTTTGTGTTAGAAGACTTCATGGAATCACTGAATAATTTTGGTTGGGAAAGATTTTTAAGATCATTGAGGTCAAATCAGTTAATTGGCACTGCCAGGTCCCCACTAACCCATGTCCCTCAGCACCACATCTCCATGGCTTGGAAACCCCTCCAGGGATGGGGACTCCACCACTGCCCTGGGCAGCCTGGGACAGCCCTGGACAACCCTCAAGGGCAAGAAATTGTTCCTCAGGGCCAACCTCAACCTCCCCTGGGGCAACTTGAGGCTTGTTCCTTGGGAGAAGAGCCTGACCCCCACCTGGCTCCAGCCTGCTGTCAGGGAGCTGTGGAGAGCCAGAAGGTCTCCCCTGAGCCTCCGTTGCTCCAGGCTCAGCACCCCCAGGTCCCTCAGCTGCTCCTCACCACACTTGGGCTCTAGACCCTTCCCCAGCAGCTTTGTTGCCCTTCTCTGGCCCTGCTCCAGCCCCTCAAGTTCCTTCTTGGAGTAAGAGGCCAAAACTGACCCCAGGCTTTGAGGGTGGCCTCCCCAGTGCTGAGTGCAGTGGGGACAATCCCTACCCTAATCCTAATAATACTCGGCCCTACAGCAGGGGAGATTTGCTGGAGCAGGGAGTGCAGTGGGGACTGGATTCGGTACTGTGCAGCGAGGATGGGGTTTTATGGAGGGACGTGCTCTGGCTGGAAGACTTGGCAGGAGGTTGCAGGTGTAGCAGATGCCAACGGTAGGCCGCTTACACGGGATCCTCCAGTCTCTTGGCCGTGGTTGATCATAACATCCTTTCTCCTTACGCTGCCAACGCGTCAGGGCCTCCCCCCGTCCTCGGGACATCTGAGGAGCGTCGCTGGGCTGGAAGAGCTCGGGCTCGATGGGTTGTAACTGTGTGAAGCTGGGCCTTGCAGATTTGTTTCACTGGAACGGAGCAGAGGGCTGAGGAGCTGCTGCTTTAGGTGGCTGTGTGGGAAGGAGTCTGGTGGGGATTTTTTTGCCCACAATAGCAGGAGGATGTTGCAGGGGTGAACTAAACCCAAACGTTTGTCACGTAAATGGGGTTTTGCTTTGAGCAGCTTCCAGAGAATTCTGGGCTGGAGCTTCACAGGAGGAGCTTCACAGGAGCAGCTTCTCTCCCTGGTATCTTGCTGTCTTTTGGTGCTTAGAAATAAAATCCCTGCTCCCAAAGATGGGATGTGTAAATGTAATTTCCACCGACCCGGGGGAACCGGTTCTATTAATCCCTGCAGTCACTTTGCCCTTGCTTCATAGAATGTCACCTTTGGAAAAACCATTGGCAAAGGCTCCTGTAAAGTCACTGGTGAAGGTTGTGCCTCCCCTAGGGACATCCCCCAGATCCGCTGGGGTTTGTGGGTTTTAGACACACATCTGCAGCATGGAGCTCGCTTCAGCAGCAGCAAGTTTGACTTGACTCCAGCAGCTGCTGGTGGGTTCTTGGCTTGAATCTCCTCAAACCCCACAGCAGGCACAGACACTAGAACTTTTGAAACTTGATGAATAAAATTATTTCTCACAGGATATTTATTCTGATGAAATGTAAACTTGTGTTTCAGCTAGGCTTTTCCGGGCTTCAAACAAACAGTGGCTTCCTCTGCTCCGCTTAACCAAAGCCAAGCAGTTCCAAATTTGCATGTGACATGACTTTGTCACCAGCAGGAACGTACTCGATGGCTTCTTCTTTGTCACAATAGTCAAACCAAGGGGGAATTATTTTAATATACGTGGGGATAGGAATTAAAGCGCTGGGGCACAGGTTTGAGGAGCCTGGAAATGTTCTCAGTGATGTTTTTGCTGAAGCACTCGCTGGCCTTTCAGCAGCACTTAGAGCTTCATTGCTTAGAACAACTACAAGAGAACATCTTGAAACACAGTGATGCTGAGGAGTCTTCCACCATCTTACTGGGCACTGCTGGCTGCTGAATTAATCACCTTGTTAAAATAAACGGCCTGGAGAGTGGATGGTTGCTTACCTGATGGAGTAAACCGCCTCCCACCCCACCCCTGTTGAGGACAGAGGGACGTGTGGCTTTCCAGGGTGCTGCCATAACTTGGGAGCAGAGCAGATGTGACTTCTGGTATCTGGTTTCCTTCTGCCCTTCAGAGCTGCGCAGGTGACTTTGTAAATGTGAGGGAGTCGGGGTGCCTGAGCCTGTGACCACGCAGATGGGAGCAGTTGAGCTTCCGCCGCGGCTGATGGTGTTAACTTGGGAACCTAATGAATGTCTTCATCGTTTCACTGGGGCTCTTTGCAGTGAAATGTGGAAATCATTACCGGGCAAAGCCAACTGCCTGTGAAAATTGTCAGGAGAAGGAATGGAGTTTTAACCACGGAATTGTTTTCTAGGAACTGCTGAGCTGAGTCTGAGGCAATCTGCACGCTTGGCAGTCTCGTTAGAGCAGCACTGGAGAGGGCCCTGTTCATTTGCGGTCTCTGGAAGAGACCTCTCATCCTTCAGCTCCACACCACTTCTGGATGCACCGGGATTCTCTCTGCACTCCGTGTTTCCTTCCTTTAGACCAAGAGGCAAACCATTTCCCATACCACTTGGTTGTAAAACCTGGGAAAGCGATTTGCAATCATCCCAGGAACGAAAAGGCCATGAAGGGAATTTGGAAGCTGACAGGATCGGTCAGGCTGTGGCAGCAGCTCATCCAACTTGTTGGCCCAAGCTGTGCTCTTGGAAGGGTAGTTCGTGAAGATGTGGATGTTGTTGGGTTTTCTTTTTAACCCTAAAGCATATTTCATGAGCTCTCCTCCCTCTCCTGTACAGGACGAGAAGATCACTGTTAACCAAGATGTCCCAGTGCACGAAGGGAAGCCTCATATTGTCCACTTCCAGTACAAGGTCACCGAGGTGAAGACCTCCTCCTGGGATGCAGTGCTCTCTAATCAGAGCCTCTTTGTGGAAATCCCTGATGGATTATTAGCTGATGGAAGCAAAGAAGGGTAAGTTCAGGATCCCAGAGCTGCATCCGCAGCTCTCCAGGGAGCAGGACTTTGCTTCCGTGGGTGGTGTTGGGTGGGTGGGGAGGCTGGGCTCTGTGCGTGGCAGCTCTATTCCTGGTTTGTGTACCTGCAGTGTCTCCAAACTGCCTTGGCTTCGCAGAACTGTCCTCCTGCTAGTCCTCCATATAGGTATAATTTTTCCCCTGATGATCATTTCAGATAGAATAGAATCGTTGTGGTTGGAAGAGACCTTTCAGATCGAGTCCAACCATCACCCCAGCGCTGGCAGGTCCCCCCCTGACCCGTGTCCCTCAGCACCACATCTCCATGGCTTGGAAACCCCTCCAGGGATGGGGACTCCACCACTGCCCTGGGCAGCCTGGGACAGGACTTTACAGCCCCTGTGGGGAATAAATTGTTCCTCAGGTCCAACCTCAACCTCCCCTGGGGCAACTTGAGGCTTGTTCTTTGGGAGAAGAGCCTGACCCCCACCTGGCTCCAACCTCCTTTACATGGACTTGCTGAAAGCAAGAAGGTCTCCCCTGAGCCTCCTCTCCCCAGGTCCCTCAGCTGCTCCTCACCACACTTGGGCTCTAGACCCTTCCACAGCTTCGTTGCCCTTCTCTGGCCACAATCCAGCCCCTCAAGGTCCTTCTGGGCCCAAAACTGACCCCAGGATTTGAGGTGCGGCCTTCCCAGTGCTGAGTACAGGGGGACCATCCTGCTGGACATGCTAGTGCTGACACAAGCCAGGATGCTGGTGGCCTTCTTGGCAGCTCTCCACCAGCCCCCCCAGGTCATTTTCCACCGGGCACTTTCCAGCTGCTCCTCCCCCACCCTGGAGCTGCAGGGGGTTGTTGTAACCCAAGGACAGGACCCAGCCCTTGACCTGGTTGAACCTCATCCCATTTACCTCTGCCCATGGATGCAGCCTGGCCAGGTCCCTCTGCAGAGCCTCCCAAAATGGTTACCATTTTTTTGAGTCCCTATGCTAATGACAAATAAGCAATAAAGGAGCAGAGTGATTCTTTGCATACTTTGGTTTGGAACATCTACTCGCCTTTCTTGGACTTTTTGGGGTTTGTTGGGGGGTTTTTTGGGGCTTTTTTGCTTTTCTTCCACTGGCCTCTTGGCAAGCTTATTTTGGCCACTGATTTCCTCTCTTCTAGGGGAAAATAAAACCCTCCATTATCCTGATGCGCTTCTTCTCCTCAGTAGGTGGATCTGCTCTTGGAGCGCTGCCACGCAGGCGTTGGGCTCTGCCAGAATCCCGGATTTCTCTCTCTTGGCAGGATACGGGCGTGTTTTGTCCAGACAGCTCTGCTCTGGGAAGTTTGTGTAAATGCAGCTTCCAGAGCAGCTCCTTCCTGCCAAGAGCTTTGCCAAAGATCTCCGCTGGCAGGGAGCGCTGCCACGCCGTTTGGGCTTTGCTGGAGTCCTTTGAAGGCCTCCTAAATCTCCAAGCAGGCTTCATCCCTACATGCCATGAGATAATTAAGGAAAAAAAAAAAGGCAGTTATTGGGCACCTTTGGGAAGTGCCAGTGTTCTCGATGTCTCACATGTGACTCCCAAGTCCAGAGAAACGTTTTGTTTGATTTCTTCAGCGGATGTTTTAGCTGACCAAGTGCCTCCTCTCTTGGGACTGGGTTCTCCTGGGAAGGTATTTCTGTGCCTGTGTCACGGTGACTTCAAACGCCAATCTTGTCAGGTTATATTTAGCTAGGTAAAGCAGCCTAGGAGAGGCTATAATTAAAATAGCTCATTCCCATATTAACAAAGCCCTTGCAAATCTCCTCCTCCTCACTGGTCTCCTCTGCTGTTGAATTACTTGTCAGTTGGAGGCCATTTGTTGCTGCGCTGCCTCCTAAATGGTTACAAGGCTGGTGGTGATGGTGAGGGCTCCATGTGGATCCCCAGGGCTTGGGGACAGGGACATATAGAGGGGACAGGAGTCACATAGCTGGGAGGGCAGGAAGTGTGGGTTTGGCCTTGTCATCCAGCTGGTGTCTGCAGGAAAGGGCCTTGCCCATGCACATGCTCCTCCAGTGAGGGTCTCCTGCCTGGCAGGAGCTCTGCTCTTTGTCTTTCTTTCCCATAATAGTGCAAAACTTCGAGATCTCCTCACATATGGTGCCAGCAGAGGGGATGTTACCTGGCTTGGGACCATAGAATCATTTAGGTTGAAAGAGACCTTGAAGATCAAGTCCAACCGTTCCCCCAGCACTGCCATGTCCCCACTGACCTATGTCCCTCAGCACCACATCTCCACGGCTTGGAAGCCCCTCCAGGGGTGGGGACTCCACCACTGCCCTGGGCAGCCTGGGACAGGCCTTGACAGCCCTTGTGGAGAAGAAATTGTTCCTCAGGTCCAACCTCAACCTCCCCTGGGGCAACTGGAGGCCATTTCCTCTTGCCCTGTTGCTTCTTTCTTGGGAGAAGAGCTCGACCTCTTCCTGCGAGGGAGCTGTGGAGAGCCAGAAGGTCTCCCCTGAGCCTCCTTTGCTGCAGGCTCAGCACCCCCAGGTCCCTCAGCTGCTCCTCACCACACTTGGGCTCTAGACCCTTGCCCAGCTTTGTTGCCCTTCTCTGGCCCTGCCCCAGCCCCTCAAAGTCCTTCTGGGAGTGAGGAGTTCAAACCTGACCCCAGGATTTGAGGTGTGGCCTCCCCAGTGCTGAGTCCAGGGGATGATCCCTGCGCTGGGCTCCTGCTGGCCACACTAGTGCTGATCCAAGCCAGGATGCTCGTGGCCTTCTCAGCCCCCTGGGCACACATTGGCTCATCTCCAGCTGGCTGTCCAACCCCCCCAGGTCCTTTCCCACCAGGCAGTTTCCAGCCTCTCTTCCCCCAGCCTGGAGCATTGCAGAGGGTTGTTGTGACCCAAGGGCAGGACCTGACCAGCTGCAGTGTTCAGCTCCCCATGTCAGAACGCTTCTGGCTGGTGGGGATGTGAGTGTACATGTTGAGGACAGTGACTTGTTGAGTGACTTGAGGATCACTCTGGCTCCTGCATCCCGAGGCAGGAAGGCCATTGTTTCACCGGCCATTGTTTCACCACCCATTGTTGGCTGGAAGGCATCTGTAAACAATCTTTCTGCCCAAAAACATCCCAAGTGTTGATAAAGCTCCGAGGCTTCCTCAGGACGGGACTGAGGAAGGAACTGTAGCTGATGTTCTTTTGTCCTCCTCCTCCTTGGCAGGTTATCAGCACTGCTGGAGTTCGCCGAAGAAAAAATGAAACTAAACTACGTCTTTATTTGCTTCAGAAAAAGCAGAGAAGATAGAGGTGAGACCTCAGCCCCACTGGCAGGGGAGGGGGGAATCTAAAACAAGTCCGAAAAATCCCATCATCCCAGGACGCTTCCTGCTGCAGCCACAGTGAGCTGTGTCATTCTCCTGGCATCCTGACATGTTAGAAATGGTTTCTTCTGGGTGAAGTGGGCCCTTTCCTGAGAAGAAGGGCAGGGGTGTATTTTGGTTTCTCTACCAGGTAATGCTCTGCTGTCCTACTGCTATGTTGTGAGCAGGACTCTGATGCAGAAAGCTGCTTTTGAGTTACCGGAGAGTATTTTTTCACCCAGGAATTGGTTCCAATTTCTCCTTCAGTAAGGAGAGAAGGTCTCCAACTGACACCAGGCCGCTGGAATTGGGAAGGAGAAACCAGGGAGAAGTTGTTAGGTGGGAACCAAACACTTTGGAGTTTGTTGCCTTGATGCTCAGCTGCTTTTTTAAGATCTCCCTGCACTTTTGCCCTTCCTAGACTTACAGGTAATCCTCACCCTGGCCACAGATGCTCATGGCTTAAGGGAGCTGAGGTAGGCTCTAAAGATAGACGTGTCGCATGAGCGATTACAGCACGGAAGTCCGAAGGGATTTGTGGTGAGGTCCCAAGCTATGGCCGCCTCACTTGAAACCTCACCAGACGCAGGCTGGTGGTGGCCAAGCGATCGCCGTGGCAGGAGTAACTCAAACCTGGACTCTAATTTTACTCCATTGCTTTGCTGGCTTCTCTGATATGAGAGCTGAGCTGCGCTGAGCCTGAGGGCATGTCATCTCGTGGAACCACGCCAAGAATAATGGTCAGATTACGTTCTCGCTGTAATGTCACCACCACCGCAGGTTGCGTCAGTCACCTCTGCAGTGGCTGGTTGCAGGAGACATCTGACACTGGCTTTTGTTTTTAAAAATATGAGCCATGGTTTGCTCTGGGAATTGGTACAGGTTCTGGAGTGCTCCCAATCCTGTGTCTTGACAATATGTGGGAGCTCCTCTGCATGACCATTCAGTGGCTTGAAGGTGGTCATCAGAGGGTGCTGTAGAGCTTAGATGCTGCACCAGGGTCACAGGGAAGCAATCGCTTCAGTCACAAGCCCCCATCACCACATAGTCTGACCTTGTCTGTTTGAGACAAGGTGCAAGGGGGGCTTCTGGAATGACCCCACTCAGAATTTCTCTGTGCAATCCGTGGGGGACAGCACTGAGCTGTGCCCAGCTGCCTGGAGTTTCCACTGAGCTCTAGGTCCTTCTCGAGACAGCAGATGTCTGCCCAGCCCCTGAGCACGCAGATTCCTCTTCGCTGCCATCTGACCCGCTTTGGAAGGGTGCTGGGCCTCAGGTAAGTACAGAGCAGAAACCTGGATGTGCCACAGGATGGCCACATGCATCCTGGGAAAGCGGGTCCACGCGGCTGGCACAGGTGGATGACCAGCCACCGCTGTGTCTCAGAGGGCATGGAAGACGAGAAACATGGCCAGATCTGCTCTGCAGCACAGCTCCAACGCCCCTCACGCTCAGGAGAAGCTGGGATGAGTGCAGGAAGAGACAAAACCTATTTGAGGTCACATCTAAGTGGTTTCTTACTGTGCAGGAAGCTCTGGAGGGTGTTTGGTGTGCTTGGATAATTGTGGCTTCTAGGCTGACACAGGTAAAGAGAATTAGTCCTGGTGGTAACGGATTTCTTTCTCTTTGGTAGCTCCACTCCTGAAGACATTCAGCTTCCTGGGCTTTGAAATCGTGAGGCCTGGCCACCCCTCTGTCCCATCACGGCCAGACGTGATGTTCATGGTGTACCCCCTGGATCAGAACTCTTCCTCTGATGAAGATTAGCTGTAGCAGGGGGACTCCAGCGTGACCTGACAATGCTGTGGAGGGGCGAGAAGGCTCCATCTCCTTTCTTGAGGAAAGGGAAACCAAGCTTCTGTTGGACTGAACCTACATTTCTCATTGTTAGATTGGCCTTTGTATCCTCAGAGTTGACTATCTCGTTGAAACGTGTTGCCTAGAGAACTATATATACACACATGTAATCACCAAATAGTAAATGGAAGATGTTTCTGACCTGGCCTCAGAGCTCTTGCCATGGTGTGGTAGCGTAGGGGCGCCTGGGAGCACAGCAGTAAGCGCAGGATCAGCTCCTTGACTTCTCCAGACCCCGGCTGGGCCTTTTCCCTGTCCCGCCACAGGTGCTGCTCTGGCAGATTCCTCACTCCAGACTCTTCAGCAGAGGGCACATTGTGGGGTGGGGCACCTCGAGGAGCTGTGCTTGAGTTTAACCTCTTAACACTACATTCGCCCTACTGTGCGGCCCCACTTCGGGGCGATCGATGCCATTTTAACTGGCCTAACCTTTACTTTTATTTTTATTTTTTTTCCCCCTCCTTTTTGTTTTTAAACTTTTTGCTCTTCCAGCTTTTGTTTGAAGCAGTCTTAACCCTGTTCAATGTTACCACTGCACTATCACAGCATTCAATAAAAGGGGCATTCAGATGAACTTCACCCAGCTGGGCCTGCTTATTTGAGAGGAACAGAGCTTCTGGTGGGCCTCCCGTAGTGCTGCCGTGGGTTCAGACGTCCCCCGCCTGCCCATGGCGTGGTGGTTGCGATGGTCCAAAGAGCCCAAAAAAAAGCCTCAAGGCCTTTATCCTCCACCCAAGGATGGGTGCAGAGCAGGCCCCTGGCCATCACCTCTGTTCTTCCTCTTCACCTTTCCAAAGAGATGAGCTCCATGCTCGAGCCACCGAGCTAACACCCATAGCCAAACCAAAGGTGGTTGCGTGTGGGGACAGGCATCAGGTGGTGGCTCTACCACATGCTGTGGGATGGTCTCCCTGGCAAGACGGAGTCGTAGGTAGCTCACGGTTCAACCCTGCCCCTTCCAGCGTTGGAGAACGAGGTTGTGTACATGCCACGTAGATGGTCACCTGGCCGGTTTTCTTTGTGTGGTTCTGCCTGGCCCGGCTGCCTGCGTGGGGAGTTGTCCTTGAGTGCTTTGTCATGCTCTCGCCCTTCCGTGGAGGATTTTGTTCAAAGTGGAAGCTGAGCCATTCCATAAAAAAAAAAAAGTCATGGTCAGTGTTTTCTGTTTGCGGGGGGAGAGGTGGGGCTGGGATACAAGTTTGTGTGAATAAATCGTCTTCAAATTTGTGTCTCTTTTTCCTTCCTTCCCCTCCTAGGAAAAGAAAGGGCTCTGCTCCCCCTTCACCGAGGCATTAAGTCCCAAGTTGGGTTTAAAATCAGAGGCTGTGCTGTTGGGACCATCTCTGCCCCAGGTACTGTCCCTCCCATCCTTGCTCCAGAGACAGAGGGGACATCTCACACCTATTCCCTGGCTGAAGCAACACCAATGATTTGTTATGGCTTTTGATCGGCCAAATTTTAGCCCCGCTCCCACCCAGGGTGGGTTTTGCACCCTCCATGGCCCTGCTGCCACCCCATGGTGCTCCTCTACCACCACGTCCCTCAGGCAATACCCTCTGGATAAAGGTAAATGGAACTTCTGATGTCTCCGGGTGCTGCCTTTTGCGCAGGTCACTGCAAAGCTGGTGGAACCAAAGCGCTGAGCTGTGGCCCCATCACCCCTCAACTGCCTCCCCCTTGCAAAGGGGCTCCCTGGGGGGATGGAGCTAGGCTTGACAGGACCCAGGGGCTGGTTTCTGACCCAAATCCTCATGGCTGAGCTCGGCTGTAGCATCGGTGGTCGCAGGGCCATCACTTACCATCAGGAGCAGCATGTCTGCTTGAGCCATCTCAGATGCTAAAAAAAGATATTGACCCTCCCCCACCATCTCTCCTCCCTCCCTCTCCCTCCCATAAAATCACTGGCCACAGCTTTCTGGGGCGAAAGGCCTAGAATTTGGGGAGCAGGAAGAAAAAGCCACCCTCACAGGTTTGTGATTGTCTCTTAAAAAGATTTATTCTCTCTCCTTGCCCAAATGTACAAAGGCAAGAAGAGTACAGTTTGTATATATATATATTTATAT